GCAGATAGGTACCTGAAAGGTGAAGTCTATATATGAAGCAGAAAAGATCCACAATGTAATACATGAGATGAGGTGACTTAAAGTCAATATAATGGGACTAAGCGAGACCAGATGGCCTAGATCTGGCGAAATCGAAGACGACGGTGCCAAAATATAGTACTCAGGAAATGAAGATATTCACCACTATAATGGCGTCGCTATATTGGTTGGTCGGAGTTTTTGCCAGGCTGGAACTGGTTTTGTTTCTATGTCGAATAGAGTGTTAATGGTCACAGCCCAAACAACGCATAGATCTCTTAATATCATACAGGTGTACGTCCCCACTGCAGACAAAGATGAAATGAAAACAATGGGGGATTTTAATGCCAAATTAGGAAAAGGTAAATTCCAAGACATTATTGGTAAATTCGGACTAGGAATAAGGAACGAAAGAGGGGAAAGACTGACGCAATTCTGTCAGGAGTTTGAAATGATAGCGACAAATACATTCTTTCAGTTATCACCACGTAGATTATATACATAGAAATCACCTGCGGGTAGCAAAGAAAAAATTATCAGAAATCAGATAGAATATATCCTTATCAATAAGGGGTACCGTCCGTTATCAATAAGAGATAACTCCATTAAATCGGCAAAGACATATCTAGGAACAGGTGTTTCATTAGACCACAATCCAGTAATCGTAAAATTCGAAATCCGCTTAAAAAAAATAAAAAATCAACAAAAGACACCACAAATAAGCACTCTGCTGAAACACTTGAATATAAAACGAGAACTAACGTTGAAAATTATCGAAGAGGTAAGCAAAACAGAAGTCATTGATAATGAAGATTTCAACAAAAAATAAGAAACATTTATAAACACATTAATGATGCCAATTAAAGATACGCTGAGAAGTCACAAAAGCGATAGAGCTAAGACTCCATGGATAACAGTTCTTTAGGTACCGTCTCCACTACGGACGTTGGTAATCATCACAGCCATTTTAACTTTTGAGATTGTTATTCAGTCTACCCAACTTATTTTTAATATTCTTCGGTAAGTCCATATCTCGAATGCTTCAAGGCGATCGCTCACCTTTAAAGTCCAGGCCTCCACTCCATGCAGCAGCACCGAAAACCTCATCTTATTAAATGTTGCCCCAGCTTGTCCAATTCTCATTTTTATTTCTTCTTTATACTCGTTATTTTCATTAATAATTGTACCAAGATATCCGTATTATTTTAATTTTTCTATTGAAACCCTTCTTATGTTTAAAATGTCTTGTTATTGTGTTTTGGAAATTGTCATAAATTTTCTTTTTTTAACATTAAGCGTTAGTCCGCTTTCCTCACTAGCATTTACTACATTATCTAAGAGTGTCTATAGATCTTGTATATTCTCTGCAATTAGCATAGTGTCATCGGCATATCTGATATTGTTGATGGGTCTGACGTTGACTTTTATTCCGATTGTTACATTTTCGAGTGATTTTTAATTATTTCTTTCGAATATAGATTAATCAATAAGGGGGAGAGTATGCAACCTTGCCTTACGCCTCTTTTTATCTATACTTCCTCCGAAAGTTCTTTGCCTACTCTGACTTTTACTGTTTAGTTAAAGTTGAAGATGAGTTATTATTTTTAAGTCTTTTTTGTCGATGTGTTTATCTTTAAGTAACTGCATAAGACGGTTGTGTCGGAACTTATCTAACGCCTTATTTTAATCAATAAAGCAAACATAGAGTGGTTGGTTTACATCCATACATCTTTGCATGAGGACGTTAAATCCAAATAATGCCTCTCGTGTACCTATGGCATTCCTAAATCCAAATTGAGTTTCAGTGATGTTCTACTTTTCTGAAAATTCTTAAATGAATAATTTTTAGGAATATTTTTAGTCTGTGACTCACCGTGGGCTTTGGTTACACCGATATGTCCTGCTGATGGACTGTCGTGTATCTGACAAAATACTTTGACTATTCTGCTCTTTAGGATCACCAACAGTAACAATGTTCTCTTCTTAGATATTGTTCCGAAGCTATTTTAGAAAAGGCTATTAAAAAAATTTGTTTAATTTATTAATGTTTGTATTTTGCGAAAGATATTAGAAGTGAAAATTGAAATGCCAATAAACTTATTTTAATTTTACCTTTAATTATTGGGGCTTATTCCCAATAAAATAGTATCTTGTCTCCTTTTAAGCATCATTATTTACTGTAACTCGTTTAAGCAAGTCGTTTTACATGATAATGAATGATTTTGAAATAAGTTTTAGCTACTAAGCATACGCTGGATAATTCCTGCTAAGAGGGTCGACGGTTTCCTTCTTTCCATTTTTGAATTTTTTTTTAAACTTGATTTTTCTCTTATTATTCTCTGATCTTAGTAGATGTCCACTCTTCGTTGACCACGCTCAGCACTGTTGCTTTCTTGTATTCTGTATTGTTGCACATTTTGGGAACACTCTGCTTGGAACGGACTTTTAGAATGAGAATCGTCGTTCCTGTGACTAACTTCAGGCCGATGTTCAATCTTAAGATCGCATTCTAGGCGTCGTTTAATTCATCTGAATATGGGACCCTCTATTTTTAAACGGCTAATTTGTTTCTTGATTTTGTTCTAACTAAGATGCTCACATGATCTTTATATCCCATTGCATGTATCCTATTGCACCACAATTCAATCATCTTATGGTCTTCCTTTTTCTGTAATTAATGTCTTTCATCAGAATAACAAGCTAGTTTTAACTTCACTGTACCCACCTGAAGCTTGCGTATCAGTAGTATGAGTAAGTCTAATATTTATTTCTTTAACCTTATTTCGAGATTTAAAATGTGGCAAGAAAAAACCAGAGATAAAGAGAAACATAACGAATCAAGGAAATAAGTCAAAAGAATCATAAGATCAAAGAAAAGAAAATACAATGAAGGTAAATTGAAATGCATTGAAAAAAGTTTTAAAATGGTGAAATTAGAAACATACCAGGGAGTGAAAAATAAGAAAAAGGGTTACCAAGAAAACCTGTACACTAAAAAGCTAAAATTAAAGGAATTTAGTAAGTGACAATGAAATACTGAACAGATGAAAAGAATACTTCATCTTCAAAAGAATACTAGATTAAAGTTTTCTGCCACTACGAAATATAAGCAGAAAGCTACGAATATGGGAACTCTTAATTGGTCCCAATTATCGACTTTAGACAAGCTTTTAACAGAGTGAAATGGAAAGAATAATAAAAGTGACACCCGAAAAAATAGAGAATAGGGTTAAAATAAATGAAAAATAAATAAATGAGTTTAAAGTCACTGAGGGGGTTCGACAAGGGAACCCACTGTCATTACTAGTATTCAGTATCTTTCTTGAAATTGTCATAGGAGTCGAAATCAACAGAAAATACTTGTATATCAGCAAAAACTTCAATGTCTAGCAGTAGCTAATGGCATAGTACTGATAGCCAGCAGACAAAAATTAAAAGAAATACTTGAATGACTAGCAGCAAAAGAGAGAAATAAAGGTATAAACCAAGAAAAGACCAAATATATTGAATACATAGTATGAAAATAAATACAAAGAAAATACCTGATATTAATTACAGAAGAAAAAATATATAAATTCGAAAAAGTAGACAGCTTTCAGTACTTAAGAGAGAAATTGTTGTATTATAATCATAATCGTTGTATATTCGCTCTCAACAAATTGTTAAGAGGTAAATACATATCTATAAGGGCTAAGAATATGATAATACCCAAAGTATTATATGCCAGTGAAACATGGACGATAAACACATTCAAACAAGTCATGTTCTAATAGTGGAACATGGTTGGGACATATACTAAGGATGCCAAACACGAGATTACTCAAAAGAATACTAACCATTCCATTCTTACATGTTCAACATCATTCTATGTCGCAAACCTTTAGTATACAGAAATTGAATGTCGTCTGATTATAGTTTGACGGATTATTAACAACAAATGCCATTTTTAAGTCACGACACTTAAAATCAGAGTCAAATACAAATAAAACCAAATCATCGGGGTGAGATTGACAAACATAACTAACATTGCAGTACCTCAGTTGATTGATTGTAATTTTAATTAAATAAGTGCATATACAATCATATTCTAATAAAATAAAAGAAAAATAGTTTTTTTAGTAATTTATTTTAAATACTTTGAAAATTATTATTGAAATCAAAAATAATTTCTCAACATCATTCAAGGGACCCTGCTAAACAAAAAACCCTAAATATCTGCATATCTGTAAATTTTATATTAATTTAAATAATACTTTAGAATTAATATTAAATAACTCAATTTACAAAACTATAATTTTGTAAATTCAAAAAATTTTTGTTATATTTTATTTTTAACTTATTTAATTTTAGCATTCAGATAATATAAATTTGATTTTTCCGTTACTACATTATTGTTTTTATTGTATGGTAAAAAAAAAGAAAAGAAGTTTGAAAAGTGTAGGTCTTTAGAAAGAATCGGAATAGCTAGACCAAGACGTAGCACCAACCTTATCTGATATGTGCCGCCTACACAATGAACTATACGATTATCACCATGAGATACATGAACTCATATACCCAATATATAAAATATTAATATTTTATTCTAATTTCAATGTTTTTATAGTATTTCGGTTCTACATAATTTACAATAAAATTAAGTTCTTTGTCAATAAATGCATTACTACTTTGCTTTTGCAAATAGTTCTTATAAAGGCTATTACCATTATGATACTACAATTTCAGGGTAATCTAAAAAAAAGAAACTATTTAAGGATTTTTGTTTAGCATTATTGAAAGTGACAATTTTATGCATATTCGATTGTTTATATAATAAACATGTCAAAAAATTAGGTATATATATACCTATTCAATTTCGCTAATTAATTAATAATTATTGGTTTCATTTTTAAAGTTTACATATTTCGACCAATGTGTGTAAATATAAATTGTCGGATAGGCTATATTAGGGTACTAGGATATTAAATTTGTTACAAGTTTTTAAAATAATTATATTTATAATACATTTCAAAAAAGTTGGTTACTACTTAATTAATAATACTACTCATATTGTAGGCAATGGAGCTTTCGGTATATATTTAAATTAATAAAACTAGATAATATATAATTTTACAAATTATTATACCTAGTCCTCGCAGGCTAAGAAGAACCACACCAAATTCTCATGTATACACAACGATCTCGACACTACATTTTGTACCTTGTTGGTTAGTCCTAGCTAGCGATTACAAAGGGATATATTTTTTGAAATTAGTTGAATGACTGTTGGATGATTCTAGCGTTATATAGGTCCATTTGATTACAAACTTTCTTTTAAAATGTATTTTTTTGGTGTGAGCCCATTGATACTAAGTACTGCAAAAATGAATTACCCTTATATCTCAAGTACTGAAAAGAACATAATGTGTATATTGTATTTGAATTTATATTTTAAGACATTTATTTACATTCTGTAAATAATAATTGGTACAAAAGAAAAAATTCAACATAAATTACCAATACAATAAGTCAGCATTAATAGTACCAGTGATAAGTGCATATTCTGGATAAAACGTGACTTAATTATTTACTTGTTTACTTTTAAAAATTTTTAACCTAAACTAGACTTGTGATTTTGAATTATTAAATTTATTGAATTAAATGATTATTAAATTTGCGTTAGGTAGTTATCAATAGGGTCTAAGCTATCGTCCACTAGCAGTTTTTCAAAGATATGTTACTTTGTTTTGATTTAAAACATCTGTTGTATCATAGAAAACTTAACCTGGACATGATACGAGTTAAGTTAAAGGCAGAATAGACAAACAGCTTACGGAACTGACAGATACAGGTAATTGAAAAAGGTAGGGAACACATTAAGCATTACGCTATATTGTTGATTCAATAAATATTTAGTTAAGTCATGAAAACCGTCAACAAACTAAGAGAATAAAGAAAGAGAAACAAAATTAAACCGAAAACTAAAATATTTGCTATTAATAAAGATCCAAATAAATGAAAATTAAAAAGCAATTGAGTCAGCATTAAGCAGGTAATGAAAAAATAATACTTAAAGATGTTGCTAGTATACAGCTATGGAAATATGCATCTGAAAAGAATAATCTGAAAGGTTTAATAAGAAACGAGAGACATTTATTGACTTTCACTTATAAGAAGTAAAATTTATTTAGTGTTTGAGTCATACCTAAAACATGACTAAATGACAGATACTAAAACAAAATAAAATAATGAAATAATGACATAAGTAGAACGTAGGAGACCACACTGGTCAAAATAACAGGGAACAAATTAACCTTGTAGAAGTATCGGCGGAAAAGGTGGAAGATAAGCGTGGACCATAAGGTGAAGGGTTTCCTGGCTGAATAATCTACGTACGTGGTTCAATACAACAATCACAAACATTTTCAGAGTAGCAGTATGCAAAATACAGATTGCCATGGTCCGAAATGGATAGGCACTATAAGAAGAAGAAGGATTGGCCACGGTACAAGCGAACGAATGGAAAAATTTCATTTATCCATATAGCGATTTAATATAAATCAATGAACGTCTTAAAGGGAGGAAAAAAAGGAGTATATTTTTAACGAATACTTAGAAGTTGAGTATAATTTACTAATTTTTTCTTCTGCTTTGCTACATTATTATTGGTATTTTAGGGAACATAAATGTAGATTTAAAACAGCATGGTAATTGTCTTTGCCAGACGTTTACATGCATTTATTTATAATATATTTTACAATGCAAAAAAAATTATACTATTTTCTAAAGAACTTGATCGCACAAGTTTTTTGAGAAAATAGTCTACAATTATACAAAAACTGACGTTTATTTTAACGCTTCTACTTCTGTTAATTATTTATTGAACTTAAGAAACTACTAAATTAAGAATAAATTTGTAAAATGAGTCTGCTATATCGTAGCTTCTTTGTTTCAACTTCGAGTGTAATATAATTTCATATATTTTTTAAAGTATAGTAATATGACAACTTAAAGTTACCATGTTTAATTTAGATGAAACTAACTAACATTTCGGTATTAAAGCTTGAGCGTGAAAGATAATTTAGGAATTATAAATTGATGAATGTTTGATTTCTATTTGTTAAGTTTCATAATTTTGTTCTTTTAATTTTCGCAATCTCCTTTTTTATTTTCCACGTGATTTCCTTTCAAAATCATTTGTATCTCTTCCAAAGTTTTACCCTTTGTTTCAGGTATAAATATGTAAGTAAACCCAGCGGCAATAAAGCAGCTAAACGAAAAAACGTAGAAGGGATATTGTAATCCAAAATGTTGAGTTAATCTTTGATATACTTGTAAAGATAGTAATGAAGCTATAACATAAAATCCATCTGCAATTGTCATACCGAAAGCCTTCATTTTAGTGGGAAATAGTTCGGCTGTGAGCACTATGGGTACCATACCCAGGCCTAATTTAAAAGTTAAAGCATAGAGCATAACGCACACAATTGGAATCCAACTATAACTGGAAGTGTCTGATCCACCATTTTTTAAACTAAAGTAAATTGCTAAAACGAGTAAACACAGCCCACTTAATAAACTAGAAGTGATAAGTAAAGTTTTTCGACCATATTTGTCTATAGTGAGGCAGGCGACTGACGCTGCCATCACCATTATAGCTGAAAATAAAATCGCAGCCATTCGTGGCTGTATATAAATAGATCCAGCTGCGTCAAGAATAACATGAATGTTCATAAGTAAAACACTAATACTACTAAAATGTTGAGCTGCATTTAATAAGCCCATGATAAATATAGCTCGACGGTTGCTAGGAACTATAAAGAGATCAAAGATTCTACCTCGTTCTGATTTTTGACGATCTACTGCTACTTTAATACTTTCTAATTCTTTTTCTATATCATGACCTTTTTTTCTTAACCTTTTTAGAGACTGAAGGGCTTCGTTTGGTTTGTCTTTATACAGTAAATAATACGGACTTTCTGGCATAAACGGAAAAATTATAAGTTCTGTTAAAGCTAAAGATCCACCCAAAATACAATGAGCATAAAAAGGAATGAAAGGTGCTACAGAATAAATTAAAAGAATACCGACAAGCATCATAAGATAAATTAAACTGCTTAAAAAACCCCTTATTTTTTGTTCAGCTATTTCAGCAATATACATTGGTGTAGCAACAAAAGCCATATTTCCAGCTGATCCTGCAAATGCTCTAGCAACAAATATGTATTCTACTCTAGGAGCTACAGCCGTTACTATCCAAATAATTATGGTCACAAATGAAGCTAAGAGAATCGATTTTTTTCTACCAATTTTGTCAACTAAATATATGGTTATCCAAAGTCCGGAAAAAGATCCAAGCATTAGTAAGTTTTCTAGCCATTCTGCTTGTGTGTTTGTAACTTTGACTGGAGAATCGGGTCCTTGAAGAATTGGTAGTACAGGTGCTGTCCATCCATATTGCATTCCATCGCTGATGGCAGTTAAAGTTCCTAAAATATAATTATTTCATTTAACAACAATATAATGTCATCTAATTAATATAATATAAATTTAGAAATGTTTATTTTATATTAAATGTTCTTTTTTGCGACCTACAATATTCCGCTTCAAAGCTCTCACTAATAGATGAATATTGATATACAGAAACTTAAACTCTTGAAAGCATTACTGTCATATTACAGATTAAAATCTCTTATGAGTAGTATTTTTAAATTTTATTTTTTACGCAAATAAAATAAAAAAAAATAATATTTTTCAATTCCATTATTGTAGATATTTTAATTGTAAATTCTAATCTAGTAAACACGTCTCAAATTTGGATGAGCAAATATAATTTCAGGTATATTGTATAATTACAAAACATCGATTACGAAAGCTTTAAACTCGTTAATATTAATTTGATTCAAAATGAAACCTATCTTTCTAGCTTATGTTAATATTGTTTTTTAATAGTTGATTTATTAAAGCAACTGGACCGTGTCTGGCAAGAAAATAAAAAAGCTTCTTCGTGTAAACTATTTATCTACCAAAATATAAGAAATAAAGAACAGAAAATGAATAAAATCCAAAATCAATTAAGAAAATGGGATAAAAATAATTTTCCAGTCCAGTTTTTTAGAACACAAAAATATAAATATATCACTCACGACCTGCACAATTAAATAAAGGAAATTTTAACCAGAAATAATATAAGAAATAAAATAAATTTTATATCCCCGCAGTAATCCACAACAATAAATAATCAAAAACTCAAAACGCACTGAAGTTAAAGCTATTCTACGAAAACTAAAACATAAAAAATATGTAAGAATAAATGAGATTGTAGCTGAACTGATAGTAGCCAACACACATATGATCCGACACAACTTTTTTGACATCTTATGTCTGTAAATCTAAGGTATGTAAATGAGAACTTTGGCCGAGCGTTTGGGTTACATCCATTGCACGCAATCCATTGCACGCATCTCTACGAGTCAAAAGGGAGAGTAAAAATAGCTTAAGTGAATGCCAAACATGAGAAAGAAAACCAATTTGCAATATGGAGAAGTAAAAAAAAACAGAAAAAAGAGGAAGATCAGCTCCACTCTATGTTTACAAATAACAAGCACACCTCTGTCATGTTGCCAGATTTGCCGTTTCTTTTATATTTTTATATTATTAGTAACTTTGGTTTTTTAAATTCATCACCCTGTATATTCAGTCATTATTAAAATCTCCTATTCAATAAGAGTTCATCCATATGTAACACGATTTTATGTAGTCTGGAAGGTCTTAAATACATAAAACAGAAGTCTGGCAACGCCTAATTGTTTTATTAAATTTTTTGATACTAACTATATTATCTATATATATATATATATATATATATATATATATATATATATATATATACATATTGTATTTATATATTATATATATATATATATATATATATATATATATATATATATATATATATATATATATATTTATATAAAGGTTACTTTATCAGGTGTTCAAAATGTGCTCCATTTGTGAGTTGACAGTACCCTAATCGATGGTAGAATGCGCCTTCCACATTTCTCCTTGATTGTCTAGAAATTATTCGAGATTAATCGATAATTCATTACCTTAGCTGTGCAAGGCTTGCTGGTTTAGTTTTGTAAACTGAATTTTTCACATATCGAGAATAAAAATAATCTCTAGGATTGAAATGAGGTAAACAGGAAGGCCATTCAATTCTACCTCGTCTACCAATTCATCGTCCGGCATATATCTCATCGACATAACGCCGAATATTTACACTAAAATGAGCTGGAGCTCCAACTTACTGAAACCATATCTGATTAAAATTGGCCCCAAAAAAGTTTCTCAGTGTAGGTACAATTTCATTTCTAAGTAATATTTCAAACTAATTGACGTTAAATTTCCTTCGATAAAAAATAGCCCAAATTACTGAGTACCTACTATACCTGACCATACATTTAATGTTTGTGGTCTTTGAGTATGATTTTCACGCTTCTTCTTCTTCTTAGCCGTCTGTCGTCCATGTTTGGATATAGGCCTCTCCCAACTCCTTCCATCGGGCTCTATCCTGAGCAACATATTTCCAATTTTTTCCGGCTATTATTTTAATATCGTCAACCTATCTCATCTGTAGTCTTCCTCTTGGTCGTTTACTTTCGTAAGGTCTCCAATGTTGTATTGTAGTATTCCAACGTTGGTCTTTCTGCCTAGCAGTGTGGCCCACGAAGCTCTATTTAAGTTTGGCAATTTTTTTTGTTATGTCCTTTAATTTTATTTTGGATCTTACCCAGTCGTTCCTCTTTTTATCTGACGGTCGTATACCTAACATTGCTCTTTGCATTGTTCTTTCTGTTGTGGCTAGTTTATTCATGTTTGCCTTGGTTAGGGTCCAGGTTTGATATTAATATGTCATGATAGGCAGGATGCATTGGTTGAACACTTTGCTCCTTAAGTATTGGGGTATTTTGCGGTTCTTAAGTATCCAACTAAGTTTTCCAAATCCTGTCCATGCTAGTCTTGCTCTTCTAGTAATTTCCGCACTTTGGTTCTCTTTGTCGTCAAGTCTCAGGATTTGGCCTAGGTAGATATATTCCTGGATTTGTTCTATCTCACTGCCGTTTATAGTTATATGTCTGGGGTCATCTGTGTTTGTCATTATTTTTGTTTTTTTCATATTCATTTTTAGGCCAACTTATTGGGAGCTGGCTGCTAGTTCCCCAACATAATTTGCAGTTCCTCGAATGTGTATAATCACTATGTCGTCAGCGAATCTAAGGTGGTTTAACTTGTTGCCATTAACGTTAATGCCATAGGTTGACCAATTTGTAGTTTTAAAGACGTCTTCTAGAGCTAGGTTGAAAAGCTTTGGCGATATTACGTCTCCTTGTCTCACTCCTCTCTTAATGGGGATGGGATTTGTATTTTTGTCTAGTTGTACTATCATAGTTCCATTTTCATATATATTATGTATTAGTTGCCTATATCTCGAATCTATTCTACAATTAGTAATAGCTTGTTCTATGGCCCAGATCTTGATACTATCAAACGCCTTTTCATAGTCGACGAAGGCAAGAAATACGGGTAGTTGGTATTCATTTGCCTTCTCGATCAATGTTCTCATTGTCAGCAGATGGTCTGATGTAATATATCCTTTGCGGAAGCCAGTCTGTTCAACCGGTTGGTAATTATCCATTTTGTTAACCGGTTATTAATAATTCTCATAAATAGTTTGTATACTTGACTAAGCAACGATATAGGTCTATAATTCTGTAGATCACATTTGTCCCCTTTTTTGTGTAAGAGTATTACTAGTCTCTCGTTCCGGTCTTTAGGGATCTGGCTATTATGGAGACATATATTAAATAGCTCTGTTAGTACAGGGATTGTTAATGTCTTGCTTGTTTTCAAGAGCTCGGCAATTATACCGTCGTGTCTTGGAGCTTTATTATTTTTTAGTTGATGTAAAGCTCTTTCTATTTCGTATCCCTTTATATTTGGTAGTACTTCTAATACCACGTTTTTTATTTTTCTTTTGACGTTCTCCTTTGTTGTTTCATTAGGCTAGCCTTGCGAGCTGTTTGTCCTTCTCTACCTTATTGTTGGCGTCTTTAATTTTGATAATTTTTTGAACTCCCAGTGCGGGTCTTAGACATTATAAGCCACTGTTGTTTTCAATGACTCGCTCTATTAAGTACTACTACTATCGGTTTACAGCGTTCTCCGACGCCTTCCGACTCCTAACCGCCATTCTTCTCTATTCAACCATAGGCCTGGAGGGATTTCTCTTTCCTCTAGTTCTTTTTCAATTCCCTCTCTCTAGCTTCTTCTCGGTCTTCCTCTTTTCCTTCTCCCTTGTGGTGTCCACGTCAAAATCTGTTTTGGAATCCTGTCATCTGGCATTCTCTGTACATGGCCGTACCATATTAACTGTTTTGTTTTTATGTCATCAACTATTGTATGCTTGACTCCCATCATTTCTCGTATTCTCTCATTTGGTATCCGATCTCTTCTTGATTTGCCTGCTGCTCTTCTCTAGAAGTCTATTTCTGTTGCTAGTAACAGTTTCCCTGTTCTTTGTTTCATTGGCCAAACTTCACTGCCATATAATTGTTTGGTCCCACAGAATGCCGTTCATCATGGATATGGCTTTTCTACCCTGTATGTTTCTGTCTTTTACAGCTGCATCGAGTGTTCCATCTTGTGTTATCTTCATACCCAAGTACTTGTGTTCATCACAGTTTCTAATTTCTACCCCATCCTCTAATATAATGGATTGTTTTGTCCCTCCAATACACATGGCTTCAGTTTTCTTAATGTTGACTTCAAGACCCCATTTGTTATATTCTTCTATTAGCTTCCGAGTTATGTAACTCAAGTCGTCATAATCCTGTACAAGCAGTATTTGGTCATCAGCGAAACATAAGGTGTACAGTGTAGTCTCGTTATTGAGAGGGATTTCCATGCCATTACATTTTCTTTTCCACAGCTTGAGTGCTTGTTCCAGATAAAATCCTACAGCAACCCTGCTTTAGTCCTTTAGTAACCTTAAATCCTTCAGATATCCTTGATCCTTTAATTTTTGCAGTCGTTCCATTATACAGACTTTGGACTGCTTTGATAAGACCATGCTTAATGTTGGTTTGCTGTAGGGTTGACCATAGTTTATTTAGGGGTACACTGTCATATGCTTTTTGTAAGTCTACGTACACCAAGTGAACTTCTTTATTGAAGGCTGTTTTTTTCTTAATAACTTGCGTAATAGAGTACAGGTGGTCTACTGTGGATCGCCCAGCTCTAAAACCAGCTTGCTCCTCTGCTTCGTAATCTCTATAGTCATTTTCTATTTTGTTCTTAATAAGTTTCCCATACATCCTACTTATTGTGCTGTTTACCTCAATTCCTCTGTAATTTTCACACTGATCCTTGCTGCCCTTTTTGTGGATAGTTGACATGATAGATGCTCTATTAAGTTCTCGTTCCATTT